CAACCCCTGGCCTGGCGAGAAGAACTAGACTGGGTGGCAGGGCAACCAACAATGTTTCCTCCCCTAGTCTTGCTTCTTGCTGGTCCTTAGTGATGCCTCCTTCCATAGACTAAGATGAAAACAGATGTCTGCAGAGGAACCTCCAGGGTGGAAAGTCCCTGGGGCTGGTCCAGGAGAGAAGCCCACACAACCCCCCAATAACTGGCCTAGTTGGGACCAGGGCCAGAGCAGAATCAGCCCCTTGGTGGGTGGGTAGGGTCACCTCCCCTTCAGAGAGGAACAGATTCGCCCACGGATGATGGGGTCATGGGCTCCCGGAAGCTCAGAGCAGAGAGGGGCCTTGGAGTTTCTTCTCCAAGTTCTTACCCTACAGATGGAGAAACCGAGGCCCCAGAAGACCAACGCCAACATTAAAGTGAAGTATCAGTCATTCCCCGCTCACAAGTGGGTGTGTGCGTTCCAACGGGGAGCAATGCTCACCCAATTCACCTACTAGGGAATGGAATTTATTAATAAGAATGATAACATAATTCAAAGTTCAATGCCACATCCATGAGTGATTGGCTGGGCACTGCAGTTGAGTGCCACGGTCTGGCTTCTATTCTCTGGACTGTGGTTTGGGCCCTCATCAAGTGAGAAGGCAGGAGGGTCTGGGCTTCTTTCATACGGTGACCACCAAGTGGGGTCACTGTTGTGGGCTTAGCTCCCTGAGGTGGCAAGACGCCTGCTAACGTCTCCTTAGTGATGCCTCCTTCCATAGACTAAGATGAAAACAGATGTCTGCAGAGGAACCTCCAGGGTGGAAAGTCCCTGGGGCTGGTCCAGGAGAGAAGCCCACACAACCCCCCAATAACTGGCCTAGTTGGGACCAGGGCCAGAGCAGAATCAGCCCCTTGGTGGGTGGGTAGGGTCACCTCCCCTTCAGAGAGGAACAGATTCGCCCACGGATGATGGGGTCATGGGCTCCCGGAAGCTCAGAGCAGAGAGGGGCCTTGGAGTTTCTTCTCCAAGTTCTTACCCTACAGATGGAGAAACCGAGGCCCCAGAAGACCAACGCCAACATTAAAGTGAAGTATCAGTCATTCCCCGCTCACAAGTGGGTATGTGCGTTCCAACGGGGAGCAATGCTCACCCAATTCACCTACTAGGGAATGGAATTTATTAATAAGAATGATCACATAATTCAAAGTTCAATGCCACATCCATGAGTGATTGGCTGGGCACTGCAGTTGAGTGCCACGGTCTGGCTTCTATTCTCTGGACTGTGGTTTGGGCCCTCATCAAGTGAGAAGGCAGGAGGGTCTGGGCTTCTTTCATACGGTGACCACCAAGTGGGGTCACTGTTGTGGGCTTAGCTCCCTGAGGTGGCAAGACGCCTGCTAACGTCAGAGCTTCGAGTTGTCTTGCCTCTCTGCCTTAGCAGAATGAATGATGGTACTGGCTCGGGGCGGGGGGGCAGGTTCTGTGGCCTGTGCACCTTTCCCTGGGAGAAGACCTGCATGTGGGTAGAAGGCAGACAGAGAGTGGGCAGAGAGACTTTCTGGTCCTTTCTCCTGGGTCCAGAGCTGAGTTGCTAGGAGTGTGAGATCCCAGCTGGGTACATCATGATGCCTCCAGGGTCTAGGCTCTCAAAGCTGACTCTCCTTAGTTCCGTGTGAATCATCTTAGGAAGGACGCATCGCTCAGAGGAGGCACCACCGACTGTGGGTTGAAGACCTGCCTAAATGGCACCTGCACACATTTCAGCATTTTGGAGAGGATGGGAAATTTGGAGAGGACCTAATTCAAGGGAGGAGGCAGCTGCAGGGAGACAAGGAAACCCAAGAGGGCCAGCAAGAGAGAGGCAGGCACAGAGGTGAGCAGACCACAGTGACAGGGACAGAGGAATGGTGAAGGATCATAGCAGGAGCACAGAGAGAGAAAGCAGGTGAGGAGAGAGACCAACTCAGATAAGGAGAGAGAAGTAAAAGCCAAAACAAGGCTGGGAGAAGGAGAGTGAATTCAAGAACACCAGGTTGGAAGGACTCAGAGTTTAAGTCACCAATACTGCGACAAACTGTGCCTTCTGGGATGGTGCACTGAGAGGGACACAGCCTCACTCCTGGGGCGCTCCCGCCCATGGTGCAGAGCCTGGATCTAACCCCCAGCGACATCTGACACGTACTCTTCAAACAGCAAAGCGAGGGATCCCAGGGGAAGTTGGAGGCCCTGCCCCAGACTGAAAGGACAGGACCCTGAGCACAATTCGTGACCCTGACACAAGGGAAAAAAATATTAAGAGCATTATTGAGAAAATGGGCAAAATTTGCCCATGGACTATGGCTCATATCATTGTGGGTATTGGATCAATGATAAACATCCTTAGTTTTATAACTGCACAGTGGTTAAGAAAGAAGACATCCTGTGCACAGGAGAAACACACTACCCCAAAGTATTTAGGCATTAAGGGGCACGAGGTCTCCAGTTGACTTTCAAGTAGGTCAGAAAAATATATGGGGAAATATATATATATATATATGTATCGAGAGAGAGAAAACAAATGGGCAAAATGGATCGACCCAGTGAGTCCAGATGAAGAATATATGAAAGTTCTTTTACTATTCTTGCAACTTTTCTGTAAGCTGACAAAAAATGCTGGGTTGAGGTTGAAAAAGAGGTCCCTGGAGCTTCCCACTGGGGTCTGGGGACAGTAGCTGGCTGGTGCAGAGCCCCAGGATGTCCCTGGAAAGAGCCAGAAGAGCCCCTGACGTGGGCGAGGCTGAGAGCCCAGCTCTCTAACAGCTGAGGACCTCACGGAGACTGGGCCAGCCCTTCACTGCCTACTTGAGGGCCTGTTTTCCAACCCTTCACCCCATGACCTCGACACAAATGAATGTGGGTCTGGGAGGGTGGGCCCACAGCCACCTGAGCCCCACACCAGGGGCCCTGGGAACCTCCAGGTCAGCCTGGCCTTTCCTGTGGCCCAGCAGAGCCTGACCTTACCCTTTGACCACGTGAGGAGGCAGGGTGGGGCGGGAAGGAAGGCTCGTGTGCCGTGTGGCAAACCTGCTCTGCGTGCCGGCTGCTCTGTGCTCACCAGCTCTGGGGCCGGGGTGGTGGCTCTGAACCCTAGAGCTCCCCAAGGCAGCCCATCGTTACCATCTAGGTCTCCTAAATGCCACCTCTTAGAAAAGCCCTCCTCGGCCAATGACCCCACCTCATCACCTCAATTTACTTCTTATGTTTTAACTTGCCTGCCGTGGGTCTCTCTCTCTCTCTCTCTGTTGGTCTTATTCAGTACTGGGAGTGGGGCACAGTGCTCAGGCTAAGGTCTCCCCAGCTCCACCCTCCAGACCTGACAACCCAGCCTTCTGTGAACAGGGGCAGGCTGACGGGCCCAGTGTGAGTCCAGCTGCTGCCGACCTCCTGGGCCCCAGAAACACCTAGTCCTGCCTCTCATGAAGAGGTTCTAAAAGTGAGGCATCCCTGGGCCCCCAAACCGCCCTCCTCATCATGACCTGGATATTTCCAGGCTGACTGAAGAACATACTAGAAGGGAATCATGCTTTTCCATTCTCTTGCCTGCCCCCTGACAATGGGACAGAGGCAAGATCAACAGCAAACAGGCAATGAATGTTGCCTGGTGAGCCAAGCTTGAGCAAAAATGAAAATCCTGGGTTTTGGGGTTAGTTTAACTCATAATTTGGCTTCCTCCCTGGCACATAGGATACTCTGAAAATGCGCTTGGAAGACCCTAATCTAGGCTGACCTTTGCCCCCAAGAAAGCTGGCATTATGTGGAAACACAGTATACATACACCAAGCAGTGGGCCAGAGGTGACCATGGCATCCCAAATGGAGCTGGTCCCTTCCCTCACCTAACTGGGGCCCAAGGAGACAACCTTATTGAAACCCAAGTCCCAAAGAGGCAGGAAATAGCTCAGAAAATCTAGAAAAAAAGCTTCAGAACCACATCCACTGCAATCTGTTTACTGCTGTCGAGTCGCGTGCAGCCCCTCTTGTGATACTGTTGCAAGATCTAAATACACACCGTGCATTGCAAGGAGCGCACCACACAGACCGATTCAGCTGATCAAATCTTGGCAAGTCAGCGAGAAGGGACCATATTGACATGTAAAACATTAGCGGCGATCTCCTGGTCTGCTCCAGCCGCCTTCCCAGCTGGTTGGAAGAAACGAAATGTGCCTCCAACTCCAACCAGCTGGGTCCTTTGCAGGCAAGCCATCTCTTTGTGCGGCCCGTGCCTCGCACAACAAGCACAGGAACTGCCATGTTGAGTGGAGCGCTGACAAAAGAAGAGACCAACTTTGTGTCCCAAATTCCCACCCTCGAGATAAGAGTGGGCAAACGGTCAAATCTATAAATAATGCTTTCAAGAGGGGCCCTTCCTGAGGCACCTCACAGACTTGGCAGGCGTGGGCTGCTCATGCCTCTGTGCTCCAAATGCAGAGCTGGCAGGCTCTCTAGCTGGGCCTTGGGAAGCCCTCCTTGCCTCTCTCCACCCAGCACTGAGCCAGGAACATGGGACCGTCAGCCACGCATGGTGTTCTTCTCTCCACTTGCCGTGCAGCCACGCAGCTGCCCAGAAATTAACCTTGGTGCAGAAGAGCCCTCCCCCAGTTCCAGTCCCCCGTCCACCGCCAGTTAGGGTAAGGAGTCTCTACCAGGCTAAGAACGCGCCCAGAATTCCAAGCAGGAGCTCTGTGCTCCATCTCACCATACAGGGATCCCCGTGTCTCCCTCACCTGCTGGTAGGGACTGTGTCCTTGCCCATCTCTCCCCAGCACAGTGTCTGGAAGGCCCGGGTAGTATTTACTGAATGAGCTCTGTTCACGAGGATACAAGTCTCTGCTGCTCCCCTTCTCTTCATGTCCCCTAAGCCAGCCTCAGAAAAGAGTGAAAATTCAGGGGATAAAACTCGCCACTGCTGCCCCAGCACTCGTCTTCTCAGGGTCTGTCCCTGCCCCCAGGTCAGCGTGACTACTCACCTGCCATGGGGGAGAGATGCAGGGGAGGTGTCCCTCTTTCTCTCCCTCTGCACCGTGAGCATCTGCAGCTATCGGATCCCATCTTTGTCTGGACACTTCTCTCATTTGCTGAAGAGATTGCCTCTGTCATGGCTTGCAAGGTGTTTCATTCTCTCTCTGATAATTTTCATTATTAACTTGAATTTAAGAGAGAAGCCAAAAGTGATACCAGCCCCTGGATAAACACAACCACCTGGTGCCCCACGACCCAATAAAATGACAAGAACTCACAATTATAGATTGCTCGCTGAGCCAGCCTCCACAGAAAAGGCTTTACATGCTTTCTCTCTTTTAATCCTCAAAATAACCTGGTACAGTGCAAACTATCATTACCCCCATGAGGAAACGGATGCTTTGAGAGGTCGAGTACCTGGCCCAGGGTCACAGAGCTGGTGAGCGGTGGAGCGAGGGCTGGGATCCAGGCAGCCTGGGCTCCTAACCGCAGTGCCACCCTGCTGCCACCAGAGATCTTCAGATGCAAAGCGTGTCTAGCCAGGACCAGCTGTAAAGTGGGACCACATGTCAACAGCTTGTGGGACCACAGAGTCAACACAAGGATGGAGCTGCAAGGAGCCCCGTAGAGGCTCCAGGACATCATTCCTGCTTTTTAAATGGTGAATACCGTGACTCTCGGGCCCCACACTTCAGTCAGTGAAGCATCTGAGACCATGGGAATAGCCCTTCTGCCAGTGACCCCTGCTTTGGGTCAGCTATCAACACAGACTGAGAGATGGCAGCTTGATATGGGATGGGACCCGTTCAAGTTCTGGTTCAGACCCAAACACCCTGGCTTGCTCCAGGACTGGCTCCGCCCTCTGGACACCCCCCACCCCCCACACACAGAATGTGGCTGTAGGGCTGCCTGCAAAGTGGTTGGCTGCTGGTTACCACATCCCCTCTGCAGACCAAGCAATAACCTCTGCTCCTCACACCTAAGTTCCCTTGCAGTCTCTTCTCTCCTGCAAGCTGGTGGGAGGGTTTTTACTCCCCATCTTCACTTCATGGTCACCTATTTCCATGGCTCCCAGTTCACACTCAAGTTTTGGTCACGTCCATGTGGACTCAACTGTCAGTCCTAAAAATCCTGTAACAGAAGCCTGAGTTGGTCAGGCAACTTGCATCCTGGCCTTTCCTGTAGCCCCCAGCTCCAAATTAACCTGTGAAATGCTCTCCATAGCTGCTTCATGGCACTTACCAGAGCTGTACATTACATAAGGTGCATAGCTTTTCTACTACTGCCCCCCTCACCCCAGGCTTCAAGTGCCATGAGGTCAGAAGCCAGGTATGTTTTATTCACAAAAATATCCCTAACTCTGAGCATTGGGCTTGACCAGCATGGATAAAGTGCCCAGGAAATCACTGTTGGGTGAATAGGTAGGAGGACGGACGGACAGACAGATGGATGGATGGATGGATGGATGGATGGATGGATGGATGGATGGATGGATGGAAGGAATTGAGAGAGTGGAAAAATTTCTAGGATGCCAGATTACCAGAATGGGGTTGACCAGGGCCCAGGTAGGTACATTAAATCTTCCCCCACCTTCTTTCCCCACTTGCAGGCTCTCCTGCTACCACCCTGGAGGCCTCCTCTAAAACTGGCCCAGAAATCTTTCCCCGGTACCCAGCAGCTCCCTGGGGTAATGGCAAACCCAGTGATTGCTGAATGAGAATATGTTCTTTCTGCTCATTCAGATTTTGCTTTTTCTTCCTTGGTCTGCTGCTCCAAGGAAGGTATTTGGAGCATCCCAGTAGCTGGGGCTGGGGGTGCAGATGGGCAGGCTAGAGCAGGTCGCCTTCACGCACTTCTGCGCAGGAGCACGCTGAGGTTGATGTTTCATCCAGGGGTTGCCCCGGGAAGGAGAGCAGGGGGAAGGGAGGGAGGATGGTCCAGTCTCGGAGACACTCGTTTCCTATTGCTGCTGCGTCCGTGCTGGTGATGTGGGACTTTCTATGCACCTTCTTCATGCCCTCAGTGCCAGGAACAAAGGAGCATTTAAAGAGGCTTTTCCATAATCATGATGGCAAAGAGGACTGCAAGGACATGGACACTACTATGGAGAGAAAAGGCTTTCCTCCCCACTATTTTTCTAATTCGGGCACCCACTAGGTGCCAGGCACTTTCTGCATTATTTCAGCGTCCTGCCATGGCCCCTCTGTACAGACAAGGAACATGAGGCTGGGAGAAATTCAGCTCCAGCAGCTCTGGGGTGCAAACCCACTGTGTCTGTTCCCTGGAATCTTGGAGGTGGAAGCCTAGATGTCTTCCAGCCCACCCTCCAACCTAAGCAGGAATTTGCTCCCAGATTTCCCAAGGAGCCCCTGGTAGGCACCCCACCCTGTCTGGAGCTAATTGCTGACTGCTCCTCCTCAACTGCTTTTAAAACCAGCTTCCTCCCAACTTCCTCTCTTTTCATCTGGGCTCTGCCCACCGGGCAGGGCTCCAAGTGCTGGGCGCTCTGGGGTACACAGCCTTGGCAGGAGGGTTCCCCAGGCAATGGGGCTGGCCTCCAGCCCTGCACTCCACCAAGGTCTGTTGAACACGACCTGGAACCTCACCCTCAGCTCCTACAACCACCAAGCCAAAGCACTTCCAGAAGGGCAACAGCCTCTCCCAGCCCCAGGTGAGGCAGTAGGGGGTCCCTGCCTCCGGTTCTTTCCCTACCCCTTCCCCTCCCCACCTGCCTCTTCAAACCGCTCCCTGGCCTAGAAGGAGTAAGCTACCTGCAGGAGGTGGTGAGGAGGCGCTGGTGCTCTCCCGGCAGACAGCTCTCCTCTGCCCCACCCCAGGTTCCCAGCGGGGGGAGCACAACATGAAGGAGGCAGGGAGGCGCAGGCTGGTCTGGGAGGACACCCAAACGAATCACCAACGTTGCCTGTGGGTGCCCACTGCCCTCCTCCCTTTCCCACCAAAAGAGTGCGGCGGGGATGGGAAGGGGCGTGGCTCGGAGGAGGGGCGCACCTGCCCCCACGCAGGCTCTGCTGGCTCCGCGAGGCTGGCTCCCCAGGCCCTTCCGCCCAGCGTGTCTGCCTTCCCTCAGCGGCCCCGGCCTGGCCCAGGGACCCTGACATTGGGCCATCTTCCCTCCTCGTCCCCGTGGCCGCCGCAGCGCAGCCCCGCACCGGCCTGAGACCGCAGCTCCTCAGCCCCGCAGTCTCCCCGCCCCCGGGCGCGGGGATCTGCCGGCGCGCCTAACGCGGCCGCCGCACAGAGGGTGGGCCCTGGCCGTGCCCTGTAGGGGGTTGTCATCGACCAGACCCCGGGGTGGACGTGGGGGTGCAGTCGCTTTCTTGCGGCGACCTAGTGAACTGCTCACGGAGCCTTTGAAACACGTACGCGGGATGGGCTGTGGGGCCACGTGCCTGCCCTGCCACCACGGCGGGGTGCTGCGGCCTCTCCGCCCCTATGCCCTCGAGGTCGGCCCTGCTCTGCGGCCTCGGCCCATGGGGCAACGCCCTGTGACTCCACGCAACAGCCACCTTCTAATGACCCAACACCTGAGTTAGGGCTCAGCTCGGTGTGCCAACCTGACTCTAAGCACCCCCAGGGCAGCCGGTGTCTAAGATGATGCGCACTGGGCGAGGCCGGGGGTGGCTCCGCGCGGTGTCCTAGGGCCCGGGTGGCTGACCCCACGGAGCGGAGCCGCCAGCCACCGGTTTCCGCGGTGGAGAGACGGGTGTGGGGAGCGGCCCAGGGGACCCCGCTCACAGGCAGGACTGTCCCTTTGCCACCCACCTTCTGGGCAAGTCCATTCATCGCAGGGCAGCCAAGGCTGCAGCCGAGGCGCCTCACCCCACCCACCCTGGGAGCCGGCCGCCCGCGGGCCGCCCGGGGAGGCTTGGGAAATGGGCGAAGTGGTCAGACTGGTTTCTTCAGCCAGACTAGGAATCCACGCGGGCTGGCAGGCATAGGTGTGGGGGGTGGGCTGAGCCCCGCGAGTGGCATGACAGGCCACCCCGGGACACGCTTTGCTTCTCATCCCTAAAGCGGACCCCGAGGGTTGGGGGTGGGAGGACTTGCTGGTGTCTGTCTGGGAAACCCAGTTTCCAGGGGAGCTCCAGCAGACCGGCCGCTCCCCGCCCCCTGGAGTCCAACCCCCTCCTGACTCCGTCCAACATCCGATGTTGGCCCAGAGGGCTCTCAGAGGAGTGAGCTCCCGGTGCACAGCCAGCTTGGGCTTCCATCTCCATATTGGAAAGAAATCGGGGTGGGGTTGTGTGAGGAGTCCAGTTCTGACACTAACCTTCTGCGTGACCTTGCACCAGTCACTCCCCTCGCCCAGCCTGCTTCCCCATCTACCATTGTCCCTTCAGGCCCCACGATGCTGGGAGTCGGGGTGGACCAGAACTAGGACTTCCTCCGGGGTCGGTGGAAGGGGAAGGCGGGCGCCAGAGACGGCGGCCATGCGCTCCCCGCGGGTGAGCGGTCCCAAGGAAACTCAACTAGCTGCTGGGGACGGTAGGCTCCCCGACCCATCCCCGGGCGCTGGGATGGGAAAATGGAGTCTTCCGGCGGTAAATTCCCTGCCAAGGAGTAGCGTGGCACTTGATGGCGCAGGCTGGCAGGCGCCAGGTTGTCCCGGGGTCTCTGGGCTAAGGAACACGTGCCTCACCCTCCCCTACACACCCCATAAACCCCTAGGTCTGGAAGTCCTGAGCAAGATGGGGGGGGGGTGAGGGGGACAGCACTGCCATCCCAGAAAATGGAGTGCTGAATTTCCCGCTCGCAGCAGCAGCTGGGCAGCTAGGGGGGTCTCGAGGGCCGCCCGTGCGGTGGTCTCTCTGAGGTTCCTCGGTGGGAAAACTGGGACGTGAAACTGGCACTACGCGGGGGCGGTGGGGGACTCCGGGACTAATGACCCCCCGACCAACCCAAACAGGAGAAACTGAGCTAAAAGAGCCCCCAGCCCTGGTCACCGCTGTGCTTGAGGGGTCCCCTCTTTCCGCAACCAGGGTGGGCTGCGGCAAGGGCGCGGGTCCAGCCCGGCAACCAGCGTGGAAAGGGGGGTCCCAGCTGACCCTCCGGGGCTGGGCAAGGGGCCGTCGCACGCGAAGCCCCCTTGGGGTGGGGGGTGTGCAGCGGTCCCCCGAGAGAGGCGGGGCGAGGGCGCAGGCCCGGGGTTGGCCGCCCAGCACGGGTGGGCTGCAGGGGCCCCGCGGCCGGGGAGGGCTTTGTCTCCGCAGCTCGGCTTTGGGAAGGCGCCAGCCCGGGTACAAGATGGCGGGGAAAGGGTGGGATCGCGGGCTCTCGCCACGCGGAGCGGCCCCGCTCAGCCTGCTCTGCAGAGGGGAAGGGGCAGGGGTGCTGGCGCCCCTGCGCCCCCGTCCCCCGCTGCCCCCCAGCCGGTGACCCAGGGCCCCTGTCCCCACCGCCTCGGTCTGGGGCTGCAGCCTCCGCCTCGCTCCGCAGAGCCCCGGCCGCAGCAGCTGCAGAAAATGGCTGCCAAAGCGGCGCCAGTCGCCACGCTGCCACGGGCGGGGACGCGCGCCGCAGCCCACCCGCAGCCCCTCTCCCTTTCCCCCGCCCGGGGACTGTCCTCCCGGGCGCCGGGACCCTCGCGGGCACCGGGAGAGCAAAGGAAGGATCGGGAGCGAGCGGGAAGGAGGAGGGGCGGTTACCTGCCGGGGGAGGGGGCCATGGGGTGTGGGTGGCAGGGGGACAGTGCAGGGAGGGCGCTCTCAGTCTGTCCCCACCCCGCATGCCCTTGCCCTCGTGAGGACGCGGCTCCCAGTGGGGAAATGCTAATGGGTTATTGACCTCGGTGTCCGGGTGCCGCCCCCACCCTTGCAGATACCACTGTCTTCACCCCAACTCCCACCCTGGCGTTGCAGCTGGGCTGGTCAGCCTTGACGTCCCCGCAGAAAAATAAATAAATAAATAAAATAGCTGTGTGCGTGCCGACTACAAAACGACCCAAGCCCGGAACTCCGTGGAGAAGATCCGGGTGGATCCTCCGGCGCCATGAAACAGCGGCGGCGGTAGCTCGGCAGGTGCCGCGCGCCTACCCTCCTCTCCGCAGGGAGCTGCCCCCGAGCCGAGCCTCCGCCCAGCTCAAAGCCACGCGCGCCGAGGAGCCGCCCGTGGCCACCCTGTGGCTCCCTGACACCTGGTCCCAAGCACGCTTCTCTGGACTCCAAGGGGAGCCCGGGGCTATGGAGAGGGGCGCCCAGTGCGAACCGGAGTCCCAGACCCGGGTGCGAGCTTAGGATAAGGCCTGGGGGTGCACCAGAGAGGGGAGAAAATTGTCCCCAGAGCCCCGGGCCTGGGGTTGCTGAGGAATAAACGAAAAGTGCGAACAGAGGACCCGTGGGTGGGGTCGGGCTCCGGAGTCGGGACCCTTTGGCGAAGTCGAGCTGGTGCGTACGTAGCCCCCTCTTTCCCGAACCCGGAGAAACCCAGACCCAGAGCGGGTTGGGCCAGCAGGGGAGTGGTGTGCCTGTGAGCTTGGGGCTTTATTTTCCCTAGCTGCAAGTTTCTCTCTCACCCTTCCCGCCAACCGTATTCTCGATTCGGGCGCTTTCACCACCACCGGCAGAAAAATTCAAAATCAATAAATAGGAAGGCAAGGAGAAGAAGCAAACAGGTCAGGGTAAGGGGTTTCCAGATTCGAGGACGGCTTCTGCTCTTGGGGCTCAAAGGAGAGAAAAAGAGGTGCATTTAAGGAGTCACGTCTCTGTGCGGGGAGCAGTCGGAGGACACCTGGGGGCTCACATTCCCCCTCCCCCTGCTGGACGGAGGTATCCGTGTACCTAAGCACATAGAAACTTGGGGGTGGGGATTGAATATAAACGACCTGGCTCACTGGGCTTAGACAGGGGCGGGGCAGGAATGGGCTATGCAGGGGCACCAAGAAGCTGCACCCGGGCATCCACGGATTTTTGAGTGCTCAGAGGGGGCCTCCATGGCAGAGGTCTGGAGCTAGGCGCAGACCCAGGCGAACCCTCTGCCCGAAGGCATCCCCAGTTCATGAGCGGAAGGGAAATTGTGCTTTTTGCTAGGCAGAACACCATGGCAGCCAATCTCAGCCAAGGTCAGGGAGGGGTGCTGGCACCAAGGGCTGCTGCGGCCGCAGAGCTTCCTTCCGCAGAAACAGCGGGGAGGAGGCGACAGCGAAGCTAACTGATCCAGGGGGAAGCGCCCTCCCCAATGTCGCACCCATGTTCCCTGGCCGTACCCACTTCCGCCACCTTCCCCGCAGAAAGGGCAGGACAGGGAATTTGAGATTTGGAAGAAAAGAAGGGAGAGAGCAGGGAAGGATGCCCGGAACCAAACGGAGGTCACGAGGGTCATCGCGCCCCGTTCCCCCATCCCCCACCCAAGCCGGCCTCGGGAGCGACCCCCCACCTGCGCGGTGCTCCAGGCGCAGGCTTCCCAGTAGGGGGCATCGCTCCACGCCTCCGCGAGGTGGCGGCCCTCGAGGCGAGCTAGGTCACAGGCAAAGTCTCCAGGGTGCTAGGGTACCCATTGTCTTAGCCGGCCCCCTTTAGGTTCCTTGGGAGCAGGAGCGTGCCCCGCTCGGAGGACAGGCGCTGCGGAAGTCGCGACTGCCCGGGAGGGGTCAGCTGGACACCTGTGTGTGCGTGCGCGTGCACGCGCCTCCGCGCGTGAGGGAGGGGACGAGGGGCACCCTCGGAACCGCAGGCCTTTGCTGCCTGAGCCTGAGGCTAACCGGAGCCGCAACCCCAGAATAATAATGACGTCTCATCCCACGGGTGGGCCCAGCGCTGGGCACCCGACCTGCATCCCGCAACCACCGCTCCCTTGCATTCTGCCTGGAAACCGGAGGGTGGCTCTTCGGATGCATTTTCCTCCCGCAAGCAGGGTTTTTTAAGTAACCTTTAAATGAGACATCGATTTATCATTATTCTGATTGCATTTCAGAAATCCAGCCCGAAGGGACACCGCGGGAGATGGCAATTTGGTGGTACCTAGGGCTGTTTGTGGTCTAGCAGAGCCCTAGCCCCGCAAGCACATTTCCTCAGCAGCTAATTGCTCTGATTACCTCTGGGGCGGGGGAGGTAAGGATGGGGTAGACTTGGACTTTTCCCAGAGCCCAGTGCGTGCACGCCGTGGATCTGATGCTGTGGCTGCTACTGTGGCAGTGACGCGCCCCTACACACACCGCTGCAGCGCCCCTCCCGCATCCGGGCCTTCCCGTTCCTCCACCGCCTTTAGCCTGGTTTGGGGAGGGGGGGGTGCGTGGGTGGAAGTGGGAGCGTGCGCGGAGCGAGCAAGGACAGACCGAGAGGGAGGAAGAGGAAAATCTACGAGGCGGAGGGAGAGGGGGCCGACAGCGGGAAGAAAACTTGGGGGGCAGGCAAAAATGGGGGAAGGTAAAAAGGGGGTGCCGAGGCGAGAGGCTGGGACGCCAGGCAGAAAGAAAGGGAGGGGGCGGGGAGCGGCGGGGGTGGCTGGCTCTTTTCCACTCGTGAGAGCCGGTTGCCGAGAGACGCGCGGGCCAATGAGCGCGCACCAGCTCAGCCCGGCGCCCGCCGCGTGCCCTTATATGGTGCGGCCGCTCGGCGGGCGCTCGCGCACATCGCCATATAAGGGCAGGAACCTAAATACAGGCTATACCTTGTTCTCCGCTCGCCCGGCCGCGGCCCCGGCGATCGATGAGCGCGCCGCCGAGCGGGCTGCTGCGCGCGGGCCCCGGGAAAGGGTGGGGAGGGGGCCGCGGCGGCTGCGCGGCCGGGCCAGATGTGACCGGCGCAGTGGCCGCCCGGGCCGGCTGCGGGGTTCGGAAGGTGTCACCCGTCGCCGTCAGGCTCTCCGCTGCTTCCCACCCCCGCCATGTTTCCAAGGTGCAAATGCAAATGAACCGGGATTGAAGTCTAATTGCTTTTGTTTTAAAAAATAATGTGAGCGAGTCTGCGTTGGGCTCTGAGCAAAGGCCCAGGATCCCTAGAAACCTTGGCAAACGCGTGGGGGCTGGGGATGTAAGAGACCTGGTGTGTGATTTGGGGATTTGGGGTCCTCCAGCTGTCTCCTGAGGATGACCCATTATGTGGTCAGCTGAGATGCAGCACCCCGTTTGCCCGACCCCCTCGGCGCCAAATTTGGCCGAGGCTCCAGTCCGGGTCTCTCGGGGCGGGGGCTGCGGATGGCGGGGAGCAGTGGCGGCGAGGACCCGCGGACTCAGTGCCCGGGTGGTCGCGGGCAGCCTGGAGCCAGTCCGGTGGCGGAAGGAAGAGCTGAGAGGCGTCGCTGTCACCTCTCCCCGCTGTCTGTCCCGGCCCTCCTCTTTGAGGACAGGCCACAAGCTACCCGCAGTGAGAGGACCGCCGAGTCCATGGCGCAACTGCCGGAGTGGACCCGCGAAGGCGGGATCAGACCTCCACGAGCGGGCGGAGGGGCCATAGGGGGTCTATGAGAGGAGAGGTAGGCACTGGGTGGAGCCCCAGAACACCCATAGCTTCCACCACCTTGGTTCCTACGTGTCAGTGACCCCGAAGTACCATCTGCAGCGGGTTCTGGTTGCCTTACCCTCCCTGCTTCTGGCTGGTCCCCTCGCCCAATTACAGGGGGGTTTGGTCTCCTGCAGGCGGGGATCTAAGTCTGGAAGGAGGAAGCCTCAGTCTGGGAGTGCTGGGGTGGCCGGATGGCACAGCATCCCGTTGCCACTGATGTTATTGCAGACCCGGAGAGCCCACCCAACATTTTCCACCGTGTGTGGGGCTGAGGACTCCCTCTCCCCGTTTGCAGTGGGCATGAGAGACCCCCAGAGGCCCCCAGCTGAACAGAAGATGGATGGTCCTAGAGAAGCCTTTTTGCTTGGACCAGTGGCCCCTGGAGTCTGAGAGAACTGTCCCCCAGCACACACTCCACCCATTCTTCAGAGGCCCCTCTCCTGGCATTTTGGACTGGGGCTGTGTCGCCTTTGCGTGGCTTCGTCAGTGCCTGGAGACGCCTGGGAGAGAGCCTCTCCTCTCTGAGGAGGCCATTTCCAGTAGCATGATGCCACCTATAGAATATACCTGGAATTAGTCCGAGCCGCGGCTATGCCTCCAGCAGCCTGGCGCTGGTGCGGGGCTGGAGGGAACGAAACGCTTTCCGTTGTTCCAGACCAAGTTTGTGACTGTGATGGAAGGGGTGGTCTGGTTGGTTACCAAGCACTTCCTCAGGGACTCTCCCTTCTACCTTCCTGGTTCCTCAGTTAGGTGTTTGGTAGCTCTGTGTCTGGCATCGTTGGGGAAACTGAGGCTGGTACCTGAAACATTTGGGAGTTCACTGTTCTTACTAGGAGTCCCTGTGTTTCTGGGCAGTCACAGACTCCAGAGTGCTGTAAGCTGACCGAGATGTGGCATCAGCAGTCACCTATCAGTGGTTAGTATTTTTTAAAGGTTTAGGAACCTCAAAAAACCTGCATTCACGACCCCAGATGTATAGAATGTGGAGACTAGACAGGCTGCTCCAAGGCTGCCTGCTCCAAATGATTGTTTTATAGGGAGAAACTGAGGGTAGGAGAAAGAAAATGACTTTTCCAAGGTCACCCAGGTAGCCAGGGGCAGGGCCAGCTCAGGTTTGGACCCAAATCTTTTCCTTACCAATGAACTGCTCCTTGGATCATGCAGGCACATCTCAGCAGCAGCCTGGGTTCAGGTTTCCATGTCACCATGGCTTGGTGGCCCAGAAACCCTGCAGCTGGCACATGGAGACCCATGGTGGTTGCTCGACTGGCTGCTCTGGTGCTCGAAACTGACCACCACTGGTGGTAGCCAGTCACTCTGCTGGTGCAGCTGGGGAGGAGGGAGAACAGAGGCAGGAAAACTCAGACTTTGGCCCCGGGCTACCCGGCTCCTGCTCTTGCCAGAGTCTGGGAAGTTCAAGAGCCAGTGACATGCCTCCACCTCAGGTGGCTCTCTTACACCAAACCTCACAACTTGGAAAAGCAGCAGCAGGACCATGCCCAGCTCCCTAGTGAGCCTGGTCCCACACTAGTGAAAGCTGCCCAACACCTCCTCTTAGGGACTCAACTCCTGGGTGAGAAACCTGGGTGGAGCCGTGTCCTGCGGCTTAACTTGGTCACTGGCGAGTTACTTAACCCCTTTGAGTGTGGGTTCCCATCTTTAAAGGCAGTGAGGAAAGCCTCCCTCTGAGGGCTGTGGTGAAGAACAGAAGTGAAGCATTCAGAAAGCAACTGGTACAGGGCTTGGGGTGGAGCAGCCCTTGCTCAGAGGGTGGTAGCTACACCTGTCCACTCCCACTGCCCCGGCACACCTTCTTGTGCCACTCTGGGTGCCAGGCTCTGGATACAAATGACCACAAAAACCTCATGTACATTTGGATCAGTGTAGATCTGGGTCCTACCACATACTGCCCAGGAGGCTTCCCTGGGCAGTCGGTAGGCGGGTGTCAGCTCCAGCTTTCCTCCTACCCCTTGCATAAATTCCTCCAGTCATTGCTCTCCAGCTCCTAGCTGGCTCCAGCCCCAGCCGCAGCCCCTGCTGCTATGCGGGACCCCGTGGTCTATCCTGTGGCAGGTTTTTCTGAGCATCCCCAGGAGCTCCAGGCACATAGACCCAGGGACTCTTCCAGGGAAGGGGTGGTGCTGGAACCTACAGAGGCTGGAAAAAACACACCTCACTCCAGGAAGCCAACATCTTGGAAAAACAGCAGTAGTGTGTGTGTGTAGTATGGAGTCTTGCTTTCCTGGGGTCCAAAATACTTTTCATGTGGGTCCATTACAGGTTCCTGTCACAGCAACAAAATGGGAAAGAACCGCCTGTCTTGCAGGTGGGAATACTGCTTTCTGGAGAGGAAGTTGATCTTGTGGTGCAAGTACCCAAGGGCTTCCCTGGTGTTCGCTGAGCTGGGACAGGGGCTGGGCAGCGTTGAGAGCCCGACTGGAGGGGGCACTGGGTTAGCTAGCCTACAGGCTCTGAGGACCCCATTGATGGGGGCGTCCTGGAGGAGAAGGGGCTTTGAAGCTCCAGGTCACCTCCCCATGCCTTCTTTCCTCGGTTTCTGTGACCTTCTCCCGTTCTCTTCCTGCACACCTGCTCCTGGCACACCCTCACTTTTAGAGCCCAGCTGGACCACCTAGGTCCCCCAAGCCCTTTTTGCTGGTCTGTCCTCTCCATTTCAACTGGACACAACTGCGCGGCCCCGCCAGGGGCAAGGTGGGCGTGAACTTCTTGCCTGAAGGGACTCGGGGATTGCTCTTCGAAGTCCCCAACTCCTGAGAGGAAAGCTTCCCACCCCACTGCTCCATCCACACTGTGGCCGGCACAGCGACCGAGAGGCCACGGTCAGCGCCCCACACCTGCAGCGTGCAGGCATCCGCCCAGCGGGACGGCAGCACTTCTTTAGTCCTGGGCTGCTCTTTTTTCTAGCCCGCCCGGCCCGGTTGGCTCATTTTGACCCTTGTGGACAGGCAGGAAAGGAGGTGAAGGGAGTCCACCGGGAGAGGGGGGAGGTCTAAAATCTCCAGAGCAGCAGGAGAACGAGGTCAGCTGGAGACCTTCTCCTGCAGACTTAGGAGGTTTGGGAAGCAGTAGAATGGCAACTCCTGTC